CCACCCCCTGGGGAACAGTTATACAAACTTCTGTCTCTCCTTCTCCCTCTTCTTTCTCTTTCAGGTTCCCTTGACATGCTGTCCATGGAGGCTATCTTTCTTCTTCTTCTTCTTCTTCTTCTTCTTCTTCTTCTTCTTCTTCTTCTTCTTCTTCTTCTTCTTCTTCTTCTTCTTCTTCTTCTTCTTCTTCTTCTTTATGGCAAAAAAGATATCCCTCAGAGATCTGCTGAGAGCATGCGAGGTCAGGAAAGACACCAGGGAAAAAGACTCCATGTTGGGCTAAAGAGGAAGGTGCCCCTTCACGGCCTGCTGCAGAATCAACCTCCTAGTCAGAGGAGCCACTGACAAGAACACACGGTCAGGAGCTTAAAATGCTGGTACCGGAGGCAGTCATTCCCATGCCGGGTCATCTTCTCATGATATTCAGTACCAGGGTTAGACTGACCCTGGCACTTAACTGTCTTCATGCTCATTTCTTCCACACTGAGTTTCCTTCCAAGTTCCTGATCATTTCTCCTTTGAAAGGAGGCCAGCACCCTGGTGGCAGCCACCACCATGCCGAGTCTCCAGGCCTCCTTTGCTTCAGGGGCTGTGGTGGCTCTGGGAATTCTAGTGTCTAGGAGGTGCCATGCTAACTGTTTGTGCTGCCCTCCGGTACCACAGATGTATGATACATAGGTCCCTTTCCCGAATAATACTCTGTTCTTTCCCGGAGTACGGGAGTCCATGGGGAATAACATACAGTCTTGGAATGCCACATAAGCATCCAGTGTAAATACATAAACAATCATCTGCAAACTAACAGCCAGTTATAATAAACAACATGCTGAAAACATGGGCAGAGAGGACTAAGGAGGCCCATGGCCTTCCTAAAATGGAGGCTTTCAATTTGGATTTGAAGGTAAGTAGAACTCTTCCAGGTTACATGATGGAGGAAAAGGGTCCATACGAGGGGAAGACCTTACTCAAAAGCTAGTAAGAAATGGGTATGAAGCAGTTGGGGGCCCGTTGAGAAGTCTGGGATGCTGGAGAGATGGGTGATCAGGGCCAGAGGAAGCCAGGGAGGTGGCCGAATGAACATGGCTATGGAAGACTCCACCCTCTCTTCCTGAGTTGCAAGGGAAGCAATGTACGGTTCGCCATGTTGGGTAATAGTTATGTTCTTCTTGTAGAGGAAGAGCTAACAGGGATGAAGTGGAGGCAGGAGACTCGTTCAGAGACACTGGGAGTTCAGCAAGGGATCCTGAGGCCCCAGTGGTCAACATGTGAGGCCCAAAGAGCGGGGAGGAAGACCTGCGTCACTGTGGATGCTCAATGGAGAGGACCTGCTAACTGAAGGGGCAGATGGGTGGAGGCGGCAGGATTCAGGGTTCTTCACTTTGGCTGGCACAGAGGGGATACAGAAGGGTCAGCTCTCACTGTGGACATGTTGTTTTGGTGAGGACATGACCGCGGGTCATCTAACTAGAGATGTCCAACAGGCTGGCAGAACTATGGGCGTGGAACTTGAGAGAGAGGACTTGGAGGGCATATTTTTCCTCTGACACATTTTTGTCCAGCTTCCATTGCTGAGGTTTGGCTCAGGCCACCGTGGATTGGTGGGGGAAGTGCTGCTCTGAGATCCTGGGTGTATTTACACAACCTCAGCAGCAAAGCCACTGCCTTCCCCACGCCTGCACAGGAGCAGAGTGTGTGGAGACTCAGGGGTCCCTGGGACGATGTCACACCGAGGACACAGCTCTGGGCTGGCACTAAAGGTCTGGCTCCAACTGCGTATCTGCCGGGTGAGCTTCCCAGGTGAGGTGTGTTCCCCTAGGATTGAAGAAGCCCCTTAGTTCCCAAGGTTCAGCTGGCAAGCAGGAACCTAAGATGGGGAAGAGGATCCGGATCTCTTCCCTGGCTCTTCCTTCTGGATCCCAGAAGGACTGAGTGCCAGGAGAAAATTCAACATTCAAAGTAATCAGCAATGTGTGTCTTGAGATGGTAGGCTGGCCCAGACAGGAAAAAGAAAGTGCCAGGATGATCACCAAATATCCTAGAGAAATTGTTCTGGTTTGGGGTCATCTTAGGATAGTATCACAGTGGAGACACTCAAGGATGCCTGGCCATAAAGCCTGTCACTTTGCAGGCAGCCTCTTCAGCTGCACCATCTGAGTTCAATTCCATATAATGGTTCTTACCCCCATTTTATAGATGAGGAAAGTAGAGGACAGAGGTGTCAAATGGCTCGCCCCAAATCACCTCTCTAGTCAAGTAGTGATTCTGGGATTTGGAAGCAGTCTGGCTGATTCTGGAGCCTGCCTTCTTAACCACAAAGTGACAGACTCCACCACAAGGCACACAGCAAATGGCTGATGTATTCACAGGGCACTTTGTGCTGCTAAAAGCACCCTCTTATACTTATATCCTCAAATTGACAGACAGAGCCAAGATTAAACCCTTAGCCTGGAATGGCTTTTTGCAGTCTTCTCTGGGGCTGGAAGCCAGACCCAGTGTCTGGTGCACTGAAGCTTTTCCAGACACAAGGAGCTAAGAAGAAGCATCAAGGGGAACACTCCATAAGGCCACACAGTCCACCTGGACCACACTCCTAGAACCGCAAGGAGGAACTAATCAAGATGAATGACAGTGGCTGATGCAGACTTACACTTCACGCTGAAAAACCTAAAAGTTCAAAGTGTCTCCTAGTGAGTTCCCATCCTGACTTTGTACTCATTTTGTTTTTAGCTTCCAAATTCTTGAGAACAGAGTCTGTGTCTGTGCCCAACATTAACTGATAGAACAACAAATGCTATTAGTTGTTTGGCATGGCTGCATACTTCCCTAAGCACGATATTAGGCTACAAAAAAAAGTGATAAACCTCAATAATTCCTAGACGCGCTTTGCCCAAATATGTCCAATGTTAGTATCTGATTACATGTGCTTCATGCACCGTCTATCTTTCTTTAATTTTTAAAAGATTTCTTTTATTTTTAACTATGTGTCTGTGTTGGGGTTTGTGCCCATGAGTGCAGGCACACCCAGAGGCTAGAAGCATTAGATCCCCTGGAGTTGGAGTCACAGGCAGTTGTGAGCTGCTGGACATGGGTTCTGGTAACCAAACTTCGAGCCTGATACAAGGGCAATACAGGCTCTTAACTGCTGTGCCATCCCTTAAGCACGCCTTAATTTTTTGTCTTGTTACTTAAGAGGAAATTGTAGATGAATGCCGTTTACCCTTAGTTACACATATTCTGTAACAGTCTGCCTAAAAATTCTACCCTTTCAAATTGTAATGCAATTACCTCTATCACAGGATGAACACTTATGCAGTGTAGTTATCTAGTCTATTATCCTTACTCAGATTTTTGCCAGTTTTCCCTATAATATCCTTTCTATCCGTGGAAATCAAGCGTATGTATTGCACCCATTTTTCATGTCCTGGGGCATTAGAATTGTTCTGAAATCTGACATTTTTAGAAGTGAACAACTCAGTTACTTTGTTAAATATCTCTGCACTGATTTGTCTTTATCAGGTGCTGTTTAGAATATACATTTTTGGAAGGGTTTTTTAAGTCCCCCTCAATGTCTCCTAGGAGGTACGTACTATTGGTCTGTCCCATTAAAAGTTAGTCCTAGGATCAATGAGATAGCTCAGAAGGTAAAGGCCTGAGTTTTATCCCTACAGCCCACATGGTGGAAGGAGAGAACTGATACCCCAAAGTGTACTCTGAGTCACATGTGTACATATATACAGAAAAAATAAATTTAGGACTTAGTCTTATCATGCAGTTCACAGACATAGTCCTGGGTGTTTGGAGGATTGAGGCAGGAGGATCTCTTGAGCCCAGGAGTACAAGGACAGACTGGAGATCACAATTCAAACAATAAAAAGTCTGTGTCTGCTAGATTCCAGTACAAAGTAACTACTTTATTGTAAATGGATATTTTCTGTCCTGATTGCCCAGTCCCAAATAACTTACTCAGAAGCTAAACATGAATTATAAATACTTGGCTGATAACTCAGGCTTGTTACTAGTTAACTCTTACATTTTAAGCTAACCAGGGTTCCTTATTTACACTCTGCCACATGGTGGTACCTTTATTAGCATGGCATGTTCATCTCCTGCTCCCTCTGTGTCTGGCTGGCGACTTCTGACTCTACCCTTCTCCTTCCCAGCATCCTTCGTTTTGTCACTCAGCCGATACTCCCTGCCTGGCTACTGGCCAATCGGTATTTTATTAAACCAGTTCAAGTGACAAATCTTTACAGTGTATAAGACGATTATTCCACAGCACTTTATTCTTTGGGATGGATGGGTATCTTGTAAAGAGATATTTTGAGATTATGCAAATATCTGATATGAATCACCCATTGATGATTCTGGATCCACTCAAGCGCTACTAGTACTGTGGTTGGGAATATTGAGATCCTGTCATTCCTTCTACACACAGGCTTTCAACTCCTGTATGAGAAAGAACTTCCTTGCATACCTTTACTATTAAGACTCAGAAATGTTTTATTCAGCTAGTTACTTTTTTTTTTTTTTTTACTATATTTGGTGGTCAACAGTTCTGGATGCGTGTGAATAGTTAAATCATTTCATCTAATTCTTGAAACAGTTCTGCTTCTGGGATTATGATTGTTCCTGCTTTGGAGACAAAAGGAAAGAAAGAAGTTCATCAAGATTAACTTTTCAAACAGTTAACTAGTGGTCTCTGAACTTTTTATGTCATATGCTTGAAGTTGTTTGTGTGTGTGTGTGCACGCGCGCGCGCGCATTGTTTTTCCTAATCCTCCCGATGTCTCTACACATAGGAATTATCTTCACATCTCTCCTTCTTGACTTTAAAATAATGGTTCAGAGAGGCTAAACAGTTACAAAAGCTATGTTGGGAGATGGAGGGACTCACTAAAATCTCGAATTATTGGCCAGCTGACCACATGGCCCTTCCTTTTGCAGATGGAGTATGTGAACATCTGGGCTTTACTGATGCTCAGGTGAGTCCATTCAGGACAGGTAAAAGCAGAATCAGTGATTTTCTTCGTGACAGCCTGTGTTTGTGACGGTTTCTGCTTTGACAAAAAATCACCTGGACTCCAATCAGCTGCAAAGTGAGAGAGCTGTGGCCATGCATATCCCGCCAGAGCCCTGGTGGACTTCAGCCACTTTATGGCAATTGGGTTACTGGAAAGTCGATTTCTTGCAGTGAGTAAATTCATGTCATCATGCAGAGGAAACTCTGGGGAGGTCTTTTGTCACATCATTACCCTCTGATTTATCATCCAGGTAAATATGGATTTTTCCATTCTTACTCGTGTGTGTAAATCACTATAAAGAAACTTCTCATTCATACATCTGTGAGCCAACGAAACTTCCTAATAATATTGTAAAACAAACCAGAAGATCTCAATGTTTAATCAAAGGAAAAACACATGTGTTAACACATCAATCATGTCTGGCTTTAATGGTCCCCCCACAATGACCTTAGAATTACTTTTGAGGACCACTAATACCCACCTCACATGCCTGCTGAAAACACAGAATCTAGGGCAGCATCCTGCACACACACACACACACACACACACACACACACACACACACACACACACACACACAGCTGTTTGGTTTTAAGGAGGCCCTGAGAACTCTAATGCTTTCTATGGTGGCAGGGTGTGCTGGGGCCTCTGACAAAGCCTGGCTCCCATGGACACTGGACCATGCTGGCTTTATCACTTCATCCTTCTGCCTCCTGCCCACAGCAGTTACCAAAGGAAAGAATGGTTCCTCCACTCCCAAAGAAGCCTGGAATGGTCACTAAGAGTTGCGCTGGCCTTTGGGAAGGAGCTTGTGGCATTTCCCATCTGGCTGGGTTCCCAACCGACTCTCTGCTACAAAGAGGGAACCCTCTCTGCTGCGTGTTCTGATGTACAAGCTCTGCATGAAGTTCCTTGTAGCTCTCACGGAGTTCTAAGAAGTTTCCTTGGGGGAGGGGGAACAAATCCCTATTCTAGGTCCTGTTAAGACTGATTTAAATAAACACAAGCCAGCTGTTGATTCCAAGGGCTGCATGCTATCTTACTAGGAAAAGGGGTGTTTTTTGGTTTTTTTTTTTGTTGTTTTGTTTTGTTTTGGTTTTTGGTTTTTAATCTCCATAGCAAGTCAGCTGTGGAGCTCTGTACTGCTCCAAATGAGGGATTTGCAGCTTCTTTCTATTTCTATGCACTGCCCTCAGTTCTTCCATCCCTTCCCCCTCTTACAGTACAACCATCTAGACTGTAGACCAAGCCAAGTTCAAGGGTCGCCTAGCTGGTCAGCACCTAGGCAGACTCAGCAACAGTGTGCTGGTAGCATTGAGTGGCCAGCTCCTGGGGAGCTCTGGTCTGTAGCATTTGGTGGTCTTGGCTCTGCCAAAATGAAGTATCCCACTAACGCTGATTCCAAACTCCTAGCAGCCCAGCAAGCAACTCCAAGATTCCTGCACATTTACTGACTAGTTGTAGAGAGCCTGGATGAACAGGCCTCTGTGGATTCCAAGAATATGTTTCATCGGCTTTGTTTGGGGCCTGAGCAGGGATGGGCAGAGCTGACTCTGCGGTTCGGATGGATGGCCAGCTAGGCTTCTGTGGAATGACCTTTACTGCACCTCCTCTCCAGATACACCCTTCTCCCCAGGGTCCTGGAACCACGCTTGTGGCAGTGGGCTTGAGATTTTCCAGTGCTCAGATGCTCAGGTTCACCTTTCTTAGGAAGCCATTTCAGACATCACCAAAAGTAAGATCGTAAGGCCCCAGAGAGAGAAGGCAATGGGCCCTGCTCATCTAACACCATTGCATGTATGTTCAGCCTGAAAAATCCACATGACCTTGGGCCAATCATCCAGCTACTAGAAGCTCTCTGCTGCCAGTTGAGACTTCTCCAGGTTCTAGGAAACTCTCTTCTGGTCTTAAGAAACAGAAATCATTCAAATTCACCCAATACATGAACTTGTTAGTTTTAAGGTCATAATGATCATTTGGGATTCTAGATCCTAGGCTCAGTGCACAACTGGTCCCTCTAGGGAACTGCAAAGTGGGTCAGGACTTTTCTCTTCCCAAGGCTCTGACTGTTGTCTGCAAAGCCTCCTGCTCAGCACACAGGGCTCATTGTGTCTTCAGATGTGTACCTTACATGACACAGGCATCATTCCCAGCTCCATCCCAGGAGCTCTCTATCTTCTGTCCCCATTTCAAAGTACATCTTCCCTTTTTCAGGAGCCAAAGTCTGATTGGTCCATGTCCTGTGTTAGGCTAGATCACTGTCATTTTGATACCTTTCAGCACAGATGTCTGTTTACATCTAGTCCTTTTGAGATTGGCCAGGGAATCAAGTGGAGAAATAGATGATGGTGGCATGGTCCTCCAAGGAGTAATGGGCAGTACTCATGCAGCCCAGATGCCTCCTAACTCTGGTTGGCCTATCACAGTCATGGCCATGAATAATATAATCAGTATCTAGATATTCCCAACTCTTTGCAAGGCTTTGGGGAACTCCATACTGCAATACTGAAGTCTAAGGACAAGGAACTTTGTGCACAACATTAGTGCTACTTCATTGTCACCTCAGAAGGTAAGCATCTTTATATTCAATTTAAAGCTGAGGAAGCTGATACTCAGAGAAGATACAGGTGTGCCTGAAGGTCTCATAGTTAGAAACAGCCATATGTTGTGCAATATTTTGATGGTTCTAACAAATAAAGCTTGCTTGGAGTCAGAGGGCAGAGCCAGCCACTAGCTGACCATAGAGGTTTGGAGAACTGTAGACAGAGAGGAGACAGGAAGTAGTAAGGCAGGGCTGAGAGAGGATCTTGGCCTTTTGGGATGGAGGAACTGTAGAGGTAGGAAGCAACTGTGGCTGCTCCCTGTTCTCTGATCTTTCAGGTTCTTACCTCAATATTTGATTCCTGATTTTTTTATTGAAAAAGATTAAATAGATTAATGCTTCAACCACACCTCATTCCAGCAAAGCCAGTGTCCTGTCCTCATCACAGGGGAGCCATAGAGATGACTGCAGTATTTTTCCTAGAAATCTGGTCACAAGTGAAAGACCCTACAGCAATGCATGTTGAAGAAAATGAGAATTTACTGGCTGATGTGTTAGAAATGCTGGGGAGTATCTGTCCCAGTGATGAGGAGTGCTGTTCTTTGCTTTTCACAGCACTATACCCAGGCTGCTCAGTGTTCCCCTAGGCTTCCCCATCCAGGTGCCAAGATGACTGCCAATTGTCCTTATGATTCAATTAGTCAGACAAAGTCTATTATGACTGACCTTAAACCCCCAATTGATCTTCCTCACGCCCATGCCCATTCCTGAATCAACCAGTCAGTTTGACTAGATAGGTCTTATGATCTCAGAGGCCTGACCAACCACATGGTGACTGACCTTAGATCCAGGGTTGATGCTGTGTTGGCTAGTCTTGGTTGTCAACCTGACTACATCTGGAATGAACTAAAATCCAAAATGGGGGGGGCACACCAGTGAGGGAATTTTTGCTTAATTTGAAGTAGGAAGAATCATTCTATTCCAGATCTTGAGGCGGGAAGACACAGGTCTTGAATCTGGACCACACCTTCTGCTGGAGGCCTATATAAGGACATGGAAGAAGGAAGCTTTTGCTCTGTCTGCTCGCTCTTGTCTTGCTAGCAAGTCCATTCCTTCACTGGCATTAGAGCCTACTTCTTCAGGATTCCCATATCTACCAAAGACCAGCTGAGACATCCAGCCTCCTGAACTGAGCAACCACTGGGTTCTTGAACTTTCCATTTATAGCTAGCCATTGCTAGATTATCTGATCCACAACCTGTAAGTCATTATAATAAATCTCGTGTGTGTGTGTGTGTGTGTGTGTGTGTGTGTGTGTGTGTGTGTGTAGACAGAGAGAGTCATTCTATAAGTCTGTTATTCTAGAGAATCTTGACTAATACAGATGTCAACCCATGAAACCAATGGTCCCAAGGGCGGGAGGGGGCTTCCCAAAAGAAAACAATCTGCTCCAATCAGAAGGAACGTTAATGCCACAAAGAGGCAATGGCAGCTGACAGGCCCTTGGAGTGAAAGACATGAAGGACACTCAAGCCTAGTGCAGCCTCTGGTCCACAGGCGGGAAGACAGCACCTAGCACTTAGACATGGATACCACAGACGCCTCATAAAAGCTAAGCGAATAACAACACAAGCATTGGTCCATACCATGTGGAGAGGTGGAGAGTTGATGGC